CTAAGTGTGTCGCAGGATACCCTCTAGGTGATAGTTCTTGATTACTTTTTGATAAATAATTCGTTCTTATTGCGAAATAGGAGCACTATTTATAATAATAAAAATGTAATAAAAGACGTGAGGAAATTCTGTCTTTTTTAAAGACAACCATTTTTGAGGCGAAATAGCCAACAAGAAGTTTGTAAAAAAATTAAACAATTTTAAAAAATTGTTTATTATTAAATAAATAAAACTTACCCATGAAGGTAAGTCCTTAACAACATCGCAAATATCAGCCTTCGACATAGAACTAGCCCATAATTTTTTCCGGATCCTATCGCCCTTTTGAGGCTTCAAATTCTCGTACCAGATTAAAGAAAGGATACCCACAATAGGCAACGTTAAGGACCAATTAAAGTAGCAAAATATGTAGCCTATTAAAAGAATCAAAACCTAAAACACAAATAATCGTCCATAGAGTGATAGAGAGTATGGAGAAACTCTTACTTTTTTGGCAAATATCACAGCAAACTTCACAACCATGCTTGGTTTATTTTTTCTCGGTTCATCACTTTCACTGCTTAGTTGTTCGGTTTTCTCCGGTTTGGAAATCTCCGGAAAATTATTTGTCGGAATGTCGGCGCCAATCGACGCTGAATCCGCGACTAGAGGCGACCGTTCCGAAACCGATTTAATTTTTTCAGCGTTTTCCATCCTCTAAAAATAAAAAGTGAGATAAATTAGTATTGTTGACCTACCAAGTGACCAGTCGTGACCGGCAGCACTGTTGATGATTTCCATATATATATGAAGCATACTATATTTAGTATACAGGATGTCTACGGTTTCCGTTTCAGCAGAAATGTTATATTATACAGGGTGTTCCACAGGGAACCGTCGCGATCGATAGCTGGCAAACCATAATTAGGAGAAACTTTAAAATTCGACAGTGTGCCGAAGTCATCGAAGGCACGCGATCTAATATATTTTCCAGATGGCCACACTTCCGATTATACCGGAAGTAGGTATCAACTTGCTAATTTTAAATGGAACACCCTATATATTATTTAGATTTTTGGCTTCTACTGCAAACTATAAATATATCTCATGTTCAATTCCTATAGCTAAGTCTAACCGTTTTTGATATATGTATTTGAAATTTTATGTAAAAATTGCTGTTGCAGCCACCTGAATAACTATTCATTTTTCCTATAAGGGAATATGCGCTACTTAATTAGAGTCAATTTTCTTGTTGAAAAAGACTTACTTTAAGGGAACTTTGACAACATTTCGATAACTATTAATCCAAAGTGTAAAAAAAATAAGTTTCAATGATTTGACGTTGAGAAAACCGCCCAAAATAATTCTTTTCAAGTGGAAACCTCTATTTTTGTTAATTTTATCTTATTCAGTATTAAAAATAATGGTCCGTTTGTGCAAAGTTGTCTATTCCAAAAGTGTTAAGTTTTCGAAATATTGCCAATTTAATGTTTTCATTTAACTATTTTAAATACTGTCACTCTTAGTTTCCATGACAAAACTGACCATCTTTAATACAATCAAATGCCAAAGGAATTACAGCCGTCAGTTACCTTTTGAAAATATGTAATTAATAATCATGGCTAGACGCTTAAATTATACATACGAAGATTATTTAAACTTATTTATGGAGAATGTGATAAAGTTACATCAAGAATTCAAAATAATTTTTAAATAGTTTATTTTGGGTCGGCGAATATTTAAAATACCCAAACACCCCACTTAAATGCATTCAACAAGCGAAAATTACCACCATCGAGCCAAAAYAAGAAGCTTCGGTATTCATGGTAATATTTACGCTACTTTACTACGCATGCCGAGACTCCGATGGTCCCGTGGGGTCAAATTCCTCGRGAAACCCCGCTTCCTATTGGCCGGAGTCGGATTCCACGCATTCCGACGAAGGTCGCGTATCCCATTCTTCGGGTCTCCTCGTCTGCCATCGGATAAACGACAATTCCGCGAATTCTTCGGGATATTCTTCACGTTTTATTTTTTTTTGAGAACCAGATTTGAGGTGTCAGAGTAAATGTCAAAATGACAGAATTTAGCCACATACAGGGTGTCTTTTCTCGCCCAATTCCAAATGTATTTCATAAATTCGCTAATTTTTGCTGGAATTTACGCATGCACAAAGTCGATATACAGGGTGGCCATTTTCTGAATCTTTGTATGGGTAAATTCTACATTTTTAAAGATAGAGAGTCCGTTAAATAGGCAAAATTGGGCAGAATTCGATTGCCTATTCATTACCGTTTTCAAAATTTAGGTATCCGACTTGGTTCCTGAAATATCTTGAAAAGACAAGAAATCCACACTTTTTTAATTATCACATATTACGTAAACTACTTACACTTAACTTAGAAATAAAGTTAAAATTGCCCTTGGTAGAACTTTTTGCATTGAATCCAATAAGCTAACACTCGTCATAGTCGACTTGATTTACGAGATAAAAAAGAAAATTATGTTTTTTTAACTGGTAACCATAGTTGGCTGTGGGCCTTTTAAAATCCTTAGTTTTTTCTGAATTTAACGATATAACTGTCTCTTTTAACGGCAAAAATTCACAACAAAAACATTAACAAGCGTCTAGCAGTATTGTCACGAAATGGTTACTGCATCTGTCATTAAAGGTGTTAAATAATTTTTACTTTTTGTAGTAGTTTGAGTTAATAAATCTCACTAGTTAATAAAAACTTGAAAAAAATACGGATCATTTAAAAATCCAACAAAGCGGAGGATTAAATTTAAAGAACATTTGCTTACATCCATTACAACAAGAGAAGCTGCTAGTGAATGTAATGTTTCTAAGGAAAAATCCTGTTTGGTTCTAAAACAAAATAAATTCAAGCCTTTCAAGTATCACACCACCAAAAGTGCCTGTAAACCAAAGTCAATTTGAACATTTAAGTTGAACGATTCGTTCTCTCATTTTTATTTTGTGCTTTCTATGATAATATAGTTCTTGTTTCTAGAGCCTACTATACATTTTTTAAGTTCTTTTGAATTTTTCCGGTTAAAAAAAGAGATAAACATACGAACAGTTATATCGTTAAATTCAGAAAAAAATTAAGATTTTAAAAAGCCCACAGCCAATTATGATTACCATTTAAAAAAACGAAAGTTTATTTTTTATCTCGTAAATCAAGTTGACTATGACGAGTGCTAGTTTATTGGATCAACGCAAAAAGTTCTACGAATGGCAATTTTAACTTTTTTCTAAGTTAAGCATTTTACGTAATATGTGATAATTAAAAAAGTGCTGATTTCTTGTCTTTTCCGGATATTTCAGGAACCAAGTCGGGTACCTAAATTTTGAAAACGGTAATGAATAGACAATCGAATTCTGCCCAATTTTGTCCATTTAACGGATTCTCTATCTTTAAAAATGTAGAAGTTACCCATACAAAGATTCAGAAAATGGCCACCCTGTATATAAGCTGATGTATGAACACAATTCACACTAAATATAAAAGGTTTTTTCTGGGCGCGAATGGATGGTTCAAAAATAAAAACAGATTGTAATATTTTTCCATCAGTTTGAAATGGAACATTTTAAACTTTGTATATTCGAACTACTTTTGGATTGAAAATTTGGGGTGGACTTTACCAGATCGTGGTCTACTTTAGTTGCAGGAATACGTAGTATATTTTTTTCTTCATCTTTTAAAGACAAAATTTGTAATTTGTAACTTTGAAACTAACAAAGTTAAAGTCTTACTACTTGTATATAAAAACAGCAATAAACGAATAAAGCAAACATTACAAAAGTTCTAAAACTAATACAACAAACAAATAAATAAACCTTCAAATTATCAAATAAATTGTTAATATACCGACCAATGGCGGCGTGTGGCGACCAGTGGCGGCGGAAAATAAGATATAACATTTTTTGGCCGAAATGCGCCAAGTGACTAAAGACACCCCATGTTGAGTTGCGATTTTGAGTTAATGCCGCTCGGTGAGTTGGTGAGTTATAACTCATCGCGCCTCATTGCACCACACCTCGAATTGCGCTTGTGGCGGAATAATTCTTGAAATCAGAACTTTTAAAGGACCTTTTTAATTAGTCGAAATTTAGTTGATTTCTATCATCGCTCAGAAATTGACTAACCATTTCTTCGCGGTTTTTCGTTTAGTCAATATTTTTAGAAAAACAAAAATAATTCGGTTATTAATTTTGCAGCAGTGATGACACTCAGACATGAAACTCAGACAAATACAAATGGCTCTATATTTAAAATTAAATCAGTGAAAAGTCGGCGCTTGGAGCGTTTTTCGTTTAGTTGTTGTGGAATTTTGTTAAGTTGCCTTTGGAAATTGCAATGCGAACAAGCTGTTTCTACAAAAAAGTCAACAATGACTAAACTGATATCGAACTGGCAAGCAAGAGCAGAGAATGAATCACCGAAAGGGCGAACATGCAAATGATTAAATAATCATGTTTATTCTGTACTTCGGTGTTTCTTTTCGAWAAGGTGTATCAGTATTCAGTTTGCGCCAAAATTTARTTTAAAAAACGCCTCCTACAGAATGTACTAAATTTCAAATTGCTACTGGCTTTACTTTGGAAATTGGATTTWTTTATTGAAGAGTATGCGGTTTGCGYAAAAGMTTTCATTTTCAAATAAACATTAACAAAGCGCACACAATTCAGGATTTATTAAGAGCACACTGTTCTTTACTGAACGCACAACTCKGAACTTGTAGAGTATTTTTCGTTTCTGAGTTTTTCGTTATAACTCATCACGTGCCACTGTGCCGCACTTTTGATTACGCTTCTGTCAGTTAGTTACAACTATAGTTAGTGTCATTAGTGACAGATATTAGGCACAGCTACAGTTAGTACCATTAGTGACAGATTTTTGTCACTAATGTCACTATTTAGTTATCAATTAAATAAAATTATCCAGAGATAAAGGATGTTGAAGCTGAAACCCAACAGTTCCGATAATAACATCGACTTTATGATAAACAACCTACATTATTATAATTATTAATGGTTACGAAAAATAGTGTTTATCTTTTATAACCTGTAAAAAACATAAAATATTCTCAACACTACTTCAGTCGTCAACTAAAATCAAGTATTGATAAATAATAATAATTGCTGAGTTGAGGAATAAATCCAGCCACCTTATAGATAACTAAAATAAAACATTTACCCAAAGTTGGAAACTGATAAATTGTCCTAATTCTGCTTATTTTATTCGGGCACGAAGCGGAACAACGTACTTAATGAATAGTAATAGGTAAAACACAACGAAACGTAGACAAAACACAACCTTATAAATGTGGGTGTGAAACATGCAACTACCGCCATGTGATCATCATGTAAATTATATGATCATCGGATTATTATTTATTATTAGATACATTGAAAATGCGATATAGAAATAGTGTGCAAATACGAATGACGCTCCCTAATGTTTACAAACATATGTATCTTTAACCACAGATTATCAAACTATCTTGATCTTTACGATCTTTATCCCTTAGATAGCCAATCGACTGGAGTAGAGTATACTATAGTTCGTTGTCTAGTGGTTACAAACTCGTTGGGAGTGTTGGTATTGAGCTGTATAAAAAGCTAACCATACACGAACCATATAGTATGTAGTCTGTGACACGAACAGACTAGTTGGATTTTATCTTGATCATTTGCACAAAAATCAGACCTGTGTAGACTTTCCACTAGATTATAATGTGCATTAATTAAAAAAACGTTTATTCATAAAATGACTGAATTTAAATAATTACTTTACTTAATAGCCTGTAAGTTACTGAATTCAAAAACATTTTCACCACTTTTCCTGATATGTCATTAAAATTGTTCTACTAGATGATTACATACCCTTTAATGAATTTGAGACGGCGCATTACGCGATTCAATAATTTGTTTAGTAATAGACATACGTTAAATAAAAAAGGTAAGACTGACCCAAACCTTTTGGTAGTGACGTCATTATTTGAGAAGCCATATTGAAATTTAGTCATGTCGAGATTGGTTTGAAAGAGTTTATTTGTTTTTGCTTAGGTGGTCGAACGTTTGCTTTCAGATTTATTT